TTACTCTGCCGGGGGAGGTTGGATGCCGGTCTTACTCAAGGCCCGAGCAGAAAAGAAAGCTCTAAGCCTAACGGCCGGTTCTTAGCCAAACCGCACTCTTGGTGGGAACAACGGGCGGGACCGCTGAGCTCGAATAAAGAAGGCGCCAAGGCCTCCGAAGCTTCCGGAAAACGATGCGAAAATCGTTTTTCGACTTCGGAGAGGACTAAACGTGCGTCCTCTCCGAAGTCTTGGTCCAACGCAGCATTCAACGCGCGGCGCAGCTCTCATCGGAGAACGCAGGACACGACGCTTTTCGCTTCAACGAGGAACAAAATACGCTCATCGTGAGCACCCCGGCACTCGAAAACGCCGTCAAATACAAAGGAGTGCACTCTATAAGCCTCAAGGGACAAACCTACGAAGTTGTAGCGTACGCAATACCGCCAGACGACACCATAAAGGGCGTAATTCACGGGATACCGGACGAAGACTCCGAGCAAGACGTTCTAAACAGCCTAGTCACGGCGAGGAACCCAAACGTGCTCCACGCCAGACGGATGGGCCGTTCCAAGTCGGCGGTGGTACTTTTCAAGGGCCAGAAGGTGCCGTTCTGGATCATGTACGGCAACGTGGAGTACAAGTGCAACCTGTACAAAAAAAGATCGAAGTATGCGGTACGTGCGGCGGAGTCGGACATCGGTCCGACGTGTGTCCGCGACCGAAAGAGCAGCGGTGCAAGATTTGCAACGCTCTAAACCCGACAGATGGCCACGCGTGCTCCCCGTCGTGCGGCCTCTGCGGCAAGCCTCACCCCACGGGTGACACACGATGCAAGCAGCGTTTCAAGACGCCGTACATCCTGCAACAGCGGCAGTGGGAGAAGAAGAAGAAACAAGAGGAGAGCAGGTTCAAGGAAGAAGACTTCCCGCCGTTACCCAAAGGACGGTCGCGGTCGCGTTCGCGGTCACGGAGCCGAGCTTCCGTGCGGTCAACCTCGCGGCAACGGTCCGGCTCGCGGCGGAGATCGAAGTCCAGGAAGAGGTCCAGCTCCCGACAGCGAGTCAGCTTGGCCGGGGTGACCGACCACAAGGCCTCGGAGAAGAAGAGCAAGGAGGCCAAGACGCAGAACGACAGGTTAGACGAGATCCTTGTCATGATGCGACAACTTCAGGAAGAAAACAAGGCTCTACGCGTGATGGTAGAGAAGTCCGAGAAGGAGAACGCGTGGCTGAGGACACAGCTTCAGCAGAAAAGCAACGAGACGGAGAAGGAACCGGAGAAGGCTTCACCACCCGCGAAGAGGAAGATGGTCGTAAGACCGGGGCAAGAGACGGTCGCATTGGATAAGGCCGAGGCGCCGCTGCAACAGGAAGTTAACAAGCAGGTGGTCGAGCTGATGTGCAACCCCGAATGGCTGACGCAGCTGGCTAGGCACATGGAACAACTACGTACGGCACAAGTCGTTAGAAACCAAGGTGGTGAACAGTAAAAAGTACATAATTTGGCAGTGGAATTGCCGCGGGTTTGGCAAAAAGAGGGGCAACCTACAGCAATACGTGAATAACAAAGAAGAAAAGGAACGACCGGATTTGATTGCTTTGCAAGAGGCGAAACAACTGGCCAAACTGTCGGGTTACAAGTCCTACGGCATGGATACCAAGGAAAAGACGCAAGTGGTCACGTTGGTCAAAAGGAACATACCGGTCGTCGTTCATGACACAGGCGTTTCAACAGTAGAACATGTGCTAATCGAGATAATCTCGGGGAAGAAGAAAGACCAGCGCAGCCTCTTCGTGCTGAACATCTACAGCAGCCCGGCGAAACGGCACAGATTCGCTTCCCTCTTCCAAGCGACCCTGAACATCGCCAGACAACAGACACTGGTCGTGGTTGGGGACTTCAACGCGCAACATCCGGACTGGGGATACAAGATCGAACCACCCAAGGGCCGAAAACTGTGGATCGACTCTCACGAATGCGGACTATCCCTGATCACCGATCCGGATCATCCGACGAGGAGAGGAGCCGCCCGACAACAGGACACTACGCCAGACCTTACGTTTGTGCGCTATGCAAAAGATGCAGAGTGGACAAACACGTGGGAAGACCTGGGTAGCGACCACTATGTGCTAAAGATAACGATCCGCGCGGGCCCTGGAAAGCCGCGGGGCAGAAAGTGCAAGATCATGGAATAGGACAAGTTCCGAGAGCTGATAGGCGAATACGAGACGGAAGACGTCACGAACATTGGCGAGTCGATGGAATGCCTGCTGGCGATCGCCGAGCGGACGACCAAGGTGATTGCGGAAGAAGCGGACGTGGCCGCTGCGGATAGCCGACACTTACACTTACGGGAGGCTAAGGCTAGTCTGCAGGAGCGGCAGGGCATGCAACGTAACAATCGGAACCTTCGAAGAAAGATCGCTCAACTCAGCAGAACGATCGAGACATACGCTGACCAGGTTACGCGTCAACAGTGGCAGGATACCTGCGAATGGTTCGACGGTCAGCCCATTGTGCCCAAAACTTGGAACATACTGCAGCACCTACAGGATCCGGACGGTTGTAAGACGGCTCAGCGTAGCAAGATGTGCGAGATCATTCGAAGTCACAAGGGTGACGAGGACGACCTAGTAGAGGAGATCCGTAAGCGATATATTGGTGACAACCCGCCGAGAACACCCACGACATACGGCGGTGCAGACAACGAGGTGCTAGACGCGGACATTTCTGAGTTTGAAGTTGCCGAGGCACTGCGCAACTTGAAGACCAAGTCTGCTCCGGGACCGGACGGCGTCACGAACAAGATGCTGCGGAACCTGAGCAACGAAGCCATAACCGGCATCACAAAGTACATCAACGAGTGCTGGAGACAAGGCCAGCTACCACGGCAGTGGAAAACGGTCAAAGTGGTCCTGATCCCGAAACCAGGCAAGAAGCCTCAGCTCGACGCTCTGCGCCCAATCTCGCTCACGTCCTGCGTGGGCAAGATAATGGAGCACGTCGTTCTACGGAGGATCAACGACTTCATGGAGAGGAACCAATTGTTCCCTCACACCATGGTTGGATTCCGGCCACACTTGTCTACCCAAGACGTGATGCTGATGCTCAAGCACCAAATCATAGATGGCGAAAAAAGCTCTCATCTCGACACTAGGGTGATCCTGGGCCTCGACCTTACGAAGGCCTTTGACACTATCAGGCATGATGCGGTCCTTGAGAACCTGGAGAAGCTGGGCGTGGAGCGACGCATGTTCAACTATATTCAAGACTTCCTCAGCGATCGGACGGCGCAAATCTCTATCGGTGGCGTCACGTCCGACGACATCAATCTAGGCGGACGAGGCACACCTCAGGGCTCGGTCCTGTCGCCATATCTATTTAACGTGCCGATGATTGAGTTGCCTGCGAAGCTCAGCAAGATCGAGGGGCTGCACCACAGTATATACGCAGATGACATCACGCTCTGAATGACCGGCGGCTGTGACGGGTTCATCCAAGACACGCTACAAGAAGCGATACGGACGATTGAGGAGTACGTCACTCCGAGGGGCCTAACTTGCTCTCCACAAAAGTCGGAGCTCTTCCTCCTCAAACCTGTTCGGTCCCGCCAGCTGCCGTCGGACATCGCGCTCTACTCGCAAGGACTGCGTATCCCGTCGGTGAAGAGCATTCGCATCCTGGGTCTGCGGGTCTAGGCGGATGGCAACAACTATGAGATGATCGAATCGCTCAAAGCGTCAACTTACCAGATCACCCGGCTTATTTCATGCATCTCAGGCCGTCACTTCGGAATGAAGGAAGGGAATCTTGTACGCCTCGTCCGCGCTTTCGTCGTGAGCCGGCTGGCATACGTCCTTCCCTTCCTACGGCTCGGGATGGCGGAGAAAGCCAAACTTGACTGCTTGATAAGGAAGGCCTACAAGCGAGCACTTGCCATCCCGGACTCTACGTCAAACGAAAAGCTGGCGGCGCTGGGCCTACACAACACCGTGGAAGAGATCGTCGAGGCTCATCGGACGTCTCAGCTCGAACGGCTAACAAAGAGCGCGACCGGGCGTCACATTCTCGAAAACCGGGGCATCCGCTACGAAAGACAAACGGGCGAGAAGATAGACGTGCCGAGGCGGGTCCGGGAGAAGCTTACCATCCCAAACCTGCCACGTCACATGCACCCCGTGCACCATGTGGAGCGACGAACGGCGAGAGCCAAGGCCCTTCGAAGACTACAAGAGAAGGAAGAGGGCGTCTACTACACGGACGCTGCGAGGTACGACAGGGATGCCATGGCCGCAGCCGTGGTTGACAAGCAAGGGAAGATCGTTGCGAGCTGCAGTGTCCGGACGACAGAACCGGACGTAGCCGAGGAAGTGGCCATCGCTCTGGCACTCAAACTGCAAGACGCTAAAATCATTGTCAGCGATTCACAGATGGCGATTCGCCATTACGCCAAGGGACGGATCTCGCCGGTTACGCTTCGAGTACTAGGTGATCCTGAAAAGACTGCGAAGGTGAAGCTGATCTGGACTCCAGCACACTCGTCGCTCCCCGGCAACGAGGAGGCTCACGACGCGGCCCGAGGTCTCACTCGCCGGGCCGGAGCAACGTCGGACCCCTCCATCAAATCGTTGACGATGGGCGACAGACTGGTTACGTTCCGAGACATCCTCGATCATTACGCCGGCGAAAGGATGCGCTACCCTCCGGCGCATCCATCGCTGGACAAAAGACAAGCGGTAGCTTGGCGCGACTACAGACAGGCACCTACCCTAGTCCTGCCCAGCTCAGCCGATGGTGTCCGGATCGCTACAAGGGAGACTGCCAGCTATGCGGTGCAAGGGCGACTCTTCGCCACATTGTTTGGGAATGCAGCCGGCTCGACCGCAAAGCCCAGCCACTACTAAAAAAGATCACCAACCAAGAGAGCTGGGAAGCTCTTCTTCTCTGCACCGACCTTAAGGTGCAGGAACAAGTCGTCCCACTGGCCGAGGACGCCGCTGGAGTCCAAGGGATTCTGGCCGTCGCCTAAGAGGTGATTGAAAGGGGACTCCTAGATGGGCCTCCGACCAATCGCTTAGTCTTTCTGGGCGCAATTAAAGGTTGCCTGCTGCTGCTGCTGCTTGTCGGTTATGCTTGATGGTGATAAGCCAACAGTGCGTATTTGCTGTGCATCACAGGCAAATTTCAAAAATCCAGCTCACACTACTCTTTAATTTCAATGAGTTACTGTCACTTTTGAAACGACAATCTATTTAATTGGTATCATAACCTTTACAATAAACACACGTGTGTTGATTGTATCTTTATTGCTTCTCTTGGGTCACAAAAATGACAACCATCCACAAGATCGCACTGGCTAAATTTCTCGTCTACAGTGGGTAACAATGTTACCATACTCTGTCAGACTAAACGCCTGCTGTCTAAACAAGTAACGATTCATTGCAGGGCATCGAAAAGTGTTCTTATGACTGTCCGATGACTGACATGCAATTCTAGAAACTTGGTGTGAAAAGGTAAAATATCTAATTGATACAACAAAATGCTATCAGCAACCCATCCAGATTTTATTGCGTGATTGACAGTAGCTACAAACCGCAACTAATTGTCAACTAAAGACATAGGTACTAAGCGTGCACTAACTTCGAAGCGGTAGAAACCCTGAAGTTTTAACGTCAACTCACCACCATGTTGTTAATGGCAAAGTGGTGTTTGCGGCAAAGGCAGAGTATTGGAGTCCTTCAGAATGGTGACGGTCTCCTTCAGACCGATGTTGACGGTGACGAAGGTTCATTTAGAGTCTAAGTTTAGTCAACGCACCCCAGGACGTCGGTGTGCTTGTCGTGGTGGCGACGAAAGCCTTCTTTCGCACATGCCTCAGCTGCCTCGGTCCGGCGTTTTGTGGACCCAGACGTCTCTTCCCAGCCCGGTTGACAGCGACACTCGCAACGGCCTTCACGGCTCGTTATGGGCATTCGTTATGTGATCATGGGTGGCAACCACGCCCTTGTAGTTCTCCGCTCCGAAAAATCTCAGTGCGATTGAATTATAAGCTGCTGCTCGACGGTCACCATCTCTCATCGTCGCTGTCTCTCGTTGCGCAGCTGGTCGCACTGCGATCACACGGTGCTTTTCTACAAGCGGTATTGTCGTCAGAAACAGTCGTCGTGAATCGCGAAGGCAAACCGGGTGCTCGCAGAAAACCCGTCATTGTACGCGTTGGTCGACCCATCGTTGAGTAACAAGCATCGCCGCCATTTTCTACGCTCTAGAATTTTTCCGAAAGCTTGTTCCTCTTCGTGCAATAGAAACAGAAGTTAAAAGCACGAGCGCATCACCCCGAACGATCTTGCACGAACGTTGGCTTGCACTGCGCAAGCGCGCCTGCTCGACAGGGACGTTGAAAGCCCGGAGCACGTTTTTGTAGCTCCTACACCCGCACTAGCTCGCACTTATAGTGAAACAGAAAGTAGGGTGTGTCGAGTAATACCGCAGTTAATCTAGTGACGCGACTTCCGCTATGTGCTACGTAGGTCGGATGTGGTCATACGTCACTTTGTCGTCACGGTCCGAACTCGAAGAGCGACAGTTACGGCAAACGGTTGATTTCGTGTTTCTCGAACGTTCCCATGGGAACCGCGGGGAATTATCACGCGGGCTGTGGCCAATAGGAGCGCGCGGATCGTAGGGTGGAGGAGTTTTCGAGAAACACGAACGTGAATGTTTGTGACCAGAATAGCACCCCAATAGGAACTTACACCAAATCTGAGGGTAATAAAGTACTTTGAGCATTCAAACAGAACTAGCTGAGCAGTATATGTGTAGTACAAGCTTTAGCTTTTGATGCACCCTTAACTTTCGATACGCTCAACGCTAGTGTACCGAATTTTGCGCTCGATTTAAAGAGCCTGGCCACTCCTTGAATCACCTAGTATACACGTTTGCAAGAAAGGCTCCTGTGCGCTGCCATTTTGAGCAATGCTGGCGCCCTGTACCGTTTCCGCCAAGCTGGGGTGCGCCAGGGGCACGTCATGGGGTGCGCGATGACAAGATGGTGCCGTTTGCTGCATCGCCGATGACTTACGTTAGCGGCACACTTACTGTCTCGGAACGCAGGAGGAGGTATCCACACAGAATCTTAGCGTCACATATTGTAGGACGGGGCGGGGCATCTTTCAGGGTTGGAGCTGACTTTTTAACGATCGCAGCTTCTGTTCCTGCATGTTGTGGAAGCCAGAGCTGCCGCGAGCGCAGCCATCGTTGATGCAAAGGCCATGCGACTTTTGGCGCATTCTGAAGAGAGCGCCTTGAGACTTTAGATCTTTTTAAAATTTTCGATTTGTTACCGCTTTAGGCATTTTATTTAATTCTCCTTGCTATTCCGCTGTCGAAGACGACACTTGTACGTTTTATAATTATTTTTTAAAATTTCTTTCTGCGCTCAGTGGTCTACGCTTCGGCGAGAGACGCTTGGCAACATTGTACGACAACCAGCGAACATCCTGGCTGGTGAGTAAATCCGCCTCACCTTGGCGCGCGGTTCGAGGTTAAGCCGGGATCCCACTTGCAAAGGTGTATACGCACCTTCGTACTTAGATCGAATCTGGCGTAATATAGTGAGTACCTAGGTGAACATTTTCGGCATAACTTGGCTTTTTAGATTTGTACTTGTAAATATCTTAGTTATTTCAATTTGCGAACATGCATCACCCTTGCTAATTGGCGATTTCTCAGTGAATATGACAAAGTAGTATTTTATACTCTACTCGCCGTTGTCCAGCTACTCTATTGGTCTTTTTCTGACGCTCTGCGTGCTTACTCATAATAGTTCCCCCACGCGCCCCTGCGTACTGTTTTCTTGTCCAGACTAGAGACACATAAAATTGTTCATCACATAAAAGAAGGAATAACAAACTTGTATGTGTTCGAGAAAAAAAATATGTCAGGAACATGGTGTGTGTGTGTGTTTTTTTAAAATCAGCTTTAAAATCGATTTTTTTAACACTCTCCCAAATCAATTATACGTAGACATGGCTTGGAGAAAAACTTGAGGACGACGCTCTTGTGAGATAGAGCGGCTGCCAAAGTTCGGCTGTCTCTCTGAGGCCACTACGATCTTTCTTTTAAGGTACAATCTTGTAGTTATATTTATCATCAGAAAAAAGGTCACATTTAGTCATTTCGATCGTTCTATTCTCGAGGGCTACTTTTTGAAACAGTTCAACAACAGCGAAAACATGCTTGGGTGTCTCAGTGATGCGTCAACGTAAAAAAGGTCCTGCAACATTTTTTTTAACTTTCTGTAAATACCGTAAAGAGCCAATCCTTGATGTTGATAACTTGTACAATCACCCATAACTTTTCCTATCCGCTCAATTTCAGACGCAGAAAAATAAAGGAATGAAACAACTTTCCCCTTCTGAACTCGCTATAGGAAGAATGGTCACTTGATCTGACGCTAACTATAATCCTTCAGTGTTCATCGCAGTCATGCGCTCGAGTTGCCAAAGAATAAAGCATGGTTGCGTTTCAGACATTGTTAGAGTTCCGATATTCTCATCTTTAAGGGAACCCGAGTCATGATCCGAATGTTTGGCGATGCTGATTGTCACGAACCCGAGCACTCAGCTCGGACTTATCACATTCGAGTACGTCACGGCACCACGTGACTCGCGATGAGAAGTCATGATGTCATGTGACGTCACGGTGTCAACAGCTAATAAATCTAGTGATTTTCTTTATTTTAGTATACTTGACGCAGAGAGTCACGTCACTACGCCACAGAGCCAGGTAACGTGACATTTTCTGACAGCATGGCGACACCACGACGTCAAGTGACCATGTGACAAATGATTAATCGTAGTGCTAATAAAAAACACAAGGAAAACCCACAATTTCTCATACATTGGAATTCTGTATACCGCAATTGTAAAAAAATACCTAGCTGCCAATATTTATTTCTAAAACATTGTTTTGTAATAAAAACAAATATATCCGTGAACCGTTTGAACCGGTTACTGTTATATTTCTTTCGGTTCAGTTCCGCTTTAGTTCAATGATTTCGCCGAAGATCTGGATCGGTTCGGTTCCGTCTCGGCCCTCTGATTTCAGCTGTGAGGCGACACGACTCCCACAGAAGTCGTGCGGCAATCCGACTTCGTCTGTTTTTTGTTTTTCTTTTTTTGCCGGAGGGAAAGTTTTTTTTGTCAAATTTCGGCCGTGTCCTCCACGGGGCCATGAGCATGCTCACCACGTGGGTTCGGACAGCCACTCACAGCTCTGTTGGCTGTCGGTCAATCGCTCAAGGCCTCCGCTGCTCTTCAGGTCCCAAAAATGGGAAAGGGAAGGGCTCTGGTTCAAACTTTTACCTGATTAGATCTGACTAGTCTGGCGGGTTGCGTCACAAAATAACACAGGGTGACGGTGGGCGCGGGCAGGTCTCAAAACACAAAGGTACTGTACAAAGCCCTTACCCTGGTGTAAGATCGAATAGATTTTGGAGCCCATCGAAGGATGTTAGGGCCCGGGTGACAGCATCGGCAGGTGGAAAGGGGCGTGAAAACTGAAAAGCACCAAGGTCATCAAAAAATCGGAGGAAGCCAGGAGGAAAATCGTGATGTTGGCTTGGTGGTGTTCAAGCACACATCCGACTACCGGACGATTCACTTCCAAAATTTATGCCGGGGTCGTTTCGCCTCACGATTTCCAAGGTGTCCTGTTTGGACAGGCCTTTAGTAGAGGAGAGCGTGTTTTCGTGAGTCAGCGCAGTGCAAGTAGCCCCACGTGCTAAACGAAAATCGCCGAATAAACAAGGACAACGAAGTATACAAGACGAACTGCATGCTCAAATAAGGGTTTATTGAAACAAAGGCAGTTTATTAATGTCATTTTTCTGGCTATTTCTTTAGAAAGTAAAACTATGTATCTCTCAGGTAGATTGACGTGGCACTAACGCACTTGCTTTCTTCATGTTTCCGGACACAAAAGGGATCCTAATATCCTAAAGCACGTTTATGTGCGTATCTCCCGAGAATTGTTGTTTGTGCCATATCTAGGTCACATTGGCCCTTATACCGATGCGCTGCCAGAATTCCCTGCAGGGAGGATGTTACTGACCATGCATTTTATCTTGCTTCCTTGTTATCTTGTTATTCGCGGCCCGTGGAATGTCTTAACGGACTGCCGAATATGGCCTTCGTCGATATGTCGTGCGGTGGACGGCGCAAAGCCACCGATTGTCCCGCGAACAGTCATCGCTGTAATATCAAGTTTCAAGTTTCAAATTTCTTTATTCCTCTTCATACAAGAAGAGAGGGAGGAGGGAAAAAAGCAGTACAAAACTGCTTGACAGTGCCCTCTCCTCCCCCAACAGCAACAGCAGAAGAGGCACTCAAAACAAAAAAAAAAACGCTCTCAAGAGTACACAGTCAGATTTCTCACGAAACTAGTAAAGATAATATGCGTTTGTTAGAAGAGTTTTCAATTGTAATATTACGCGACAAAAAATAGTTTAACATTTTGGGCAGCTGGTTTCTGATTTCCATAGTTTGTTCTCGAGCGCGGGACCGTCCAGGCGTCGGCATGGCGGGTGGCATACGAAGTGTTTTGTGAGTGAAGGCAGGAAAGAGAAAGAAGACTGTTTCCCGGGTGGTTTATCGCAGTTTTATATGCCAGGGCAAGTTTATACTCATAATGATTCGTGATTGGAACAATTCCTAATTTCTTGAATAGTGGTGCCGCGTGGCTATCATGTGCTTCGTTGCACAAAATACGAACTACTTTTTTCTGAAGTATATGAATACGACGAATATTTGCAGAAGTAGTATTTCCCCATACCAAGAAACAATAATTAAAACAAGAGTAGATTAAAGAGTTATAAAGAAGTCGTAGTACAGACTGGGGTAAGGTTTTTCTATGCTTATAAATTATACCCACCACCTTCGATAGTTTTTTCGCTATCATCTGAACTGTTTCATCCCATCGCATGTATTCATTAAACATGACACCAAGAACTTTGACGTTCTGCACAATTTCTATACCACGTGAATCTAATGAGAGAATCTGACTTCCGCTCATTTTTACCCCCTTTGACCTGAAAACAACAGCTTTTGTTTTATTACTATTTATCACTAAAGAGTTCTGGACTGTCCACGTATAAAGTTTTTCTAGAAATGTATTACCTGTCTTCATAATGTCCGAAATATCGGACCCTGCAAAAAATATACTAGCATCATCTGCATAGATTATCATGTTTGCTTCATCGTCAATGTTAGCTATGTCGTTAATATACAGGTTAAATAAAAGAGGCCCTGAAATACTACCTTGTGGAACACCTGCATTAAGTTTTCTAGACTCAGAACGTTGGCAATTTATTACAACTCTTTGAAAGCGAAACTGTAAGTAACTCTCGAGTATTTTCAGGGCTATTCCCCGAATACCAGAAAGTTCTAGTTCTTGAAGAAGAGTTTTATGATTAATGCGATCAAAAGCTTTTGAAAAATCGATAAAGATTCCCAATGTGAGAAGTTTATTTTCAATGTTGTTTAGAATTCTCTCTTTTTGGTTAACTAACGCTAACTCTGTCGAGTACCCTTTCCGAAACCCGTACTGCCGGGGACTGAGAATTGAGTGTTTGTCGAAAAAAGTGTAAAGTCTTTTATGTATGATTTTTTCCAATCCTTTTGAAAATATTGGTAAAATGGACACTGGCCTGTAATTACTAAGATCGTTCCTATCACCTTCTTTATATATGACAGAAACTTTTGCTATCTGCATTTTACGCGGAAAAACACCAGTCTCGAGACATACATTAAATATATGAGTTAAATCGCTGTCATATCGATATAATAACGACCACAGACCGTTGCGTTGGAGTGCGTTGGACTGTGTTGCGTCGACAAACAGCCGCGAGTCGCCGGGTCACCCGTGCTTCGTGTTCCGCGTGCCAAGTCGAGGAGTAGCTCGGCAAGCAATCGCAGCGCGGTACACCGCTCTCACACCACAAAGCGCCGCTGCTGCTGCAGCTCGCCTCGTCACTCGCCTTCGTGACCACTAATATCTACGCAAACCGAGGGTCCCATCGTTCACAGCCTGTCCTTTTCAGGAGAGCAGGTATGGCGGGAAACTAAAACATCAGTTTCGGTTTCGTAGTTCTATTTTACACGAAATAATAAGCTTCATATAATTGTATGAAATGATTGAGCATATTGCTAGGTCACTATAAAATCGAAAAAAAAAATTTTTCTTTTTTTTTTAAGGAAGAAAAGTTTAAACGCGCACTTATGGTCCATTTAGAAAAAAGAAAAAAAAACGAATATGTAATGCAATACTCGCGACGCACGGGCCTTTGCTTCGTTCCTTTCTGCTTTCCGAGGCAAATGGCGGCTGACTCGCTTGACAGGAAAGCCCCGGCTATGGAGGCAAGGAAGGAGCCACCTGCGGCTCGACTGCCGCAGTCGTCGCACAAGTTATCCTTGCGGCAGCCCTTGGGTTCGCTCTTGGCCAAGTCTCTGCGGGTCACAAAGATGCTCAAGGACCGGGTACGTGAGCTACGAACGATCCTACGAACTAACCTAACCTAACCTAACCTCGCCGGACCTTTCTGGCTCGTGTTCGTCAGATTGCATGCTGTCGAAGGGCCATGTTGCGCCTTGATGTCATCCCATGATGTTAAGCAGTTACATGACGTCTTAATATCATGTGGCGTTAAGGTGTCTTGTGACGCAAAAGTCTCACTTGATATCATGGTGTTACGTGGCGTGACGTTGAAATTTCAACGTTAAATTTAGAGGGTAAATATCTGAGCTAAATTTAGAGATAAATAGGCTGCTCGTTACAATTTTCATCATGTGCTATCGCATCGTCCTAGGGTTCGATAAAACGTCGAGGCAATCTTTTACTTTAATCCCGACTCGCCGAGCGTCACGCGATGCCAAATACCAACACACAGTGCCTGCGATCTTTGACCAAGTTCCATATGATGCCGTCGTTCCCAGAAGGGTCACACATAACTTACTCCAGTCGTCCGCACTTTTGAAATTGTATCTTGGGGAACTAGTGGTCGACATCGGTGCTCCCGTTTGTAAATTCGGTCATCGTGGCAGGCGAGACGAATGTTTTTGTTGGGCCAGGATTAGAACAGTCCCTGCCAGCTAAAGCCTCTCCAGATTTGGTGTACGTACTCGCCGCTGGAGCGAATAACACCTTTGTTATTATTATTATTATTATTATTGTTATTATGTGCACCAAAGCGTTTTAAGAGTTCGTCTCTTAACGAAAAGCAGCATATGTCTAGGATGCTTATCCTCAACAAACTACGCATACTTTTTCATCATGGTGACTTAAATTGACCGATGTCGACTATACTCCCAGCAGAGCTTTGACGCACTCCCGATGTATTTCTAAGCCATCTTTTCGCTGAGCTCTTAATCCTAGATCTCTAAAAATGAGTCATTTTGACGTCTACGCGGACTTTTAAAGCATGCGTTGATTTAGAATCGACGAAAACACGGAACTATTTTAGGCTAGTATAAATCAACGCAAGATAATAAACCAGGAATTATAAAAATAAGAGCGCCCACACCGCTTTTACTGAAAACTGGGCTCATGTAGGCATGGGCGCTTGGTCGCTCAAACCGTGCGATTAACGTATAATTTGCGAAATTCTCGAGTTTTGAAAAAGATAATAGGGGGCGGCTGAACGAAATGAGCGCTTCCGCGGCATTTTGCGGTAAATACTAGATAGTGAACAGTTCCTGTTCTACTCGCAAGTTGTTTTACTGGAGCTTCTAATTTTAGTGTTATACTAACACTAGCAATCCCATTATTGATACGTTTTATTGCTGCGAACGAGGTGTAGAGTCCGAGGTGTCATCCTCAAAATGCTAAGATGTCACTTCCTTGCATGTGTCTAAGTTACTTGAACATGCACGTTTACAAGAGAAAGCTTAAGTTTCACCTCTAAGAGTGGAACGCGACAGCTAAACATGGCAACCCCCGCTCGTCCCCTAACCCTAAAAGCCTGTCTGCGTGGCTCATAATAAAACAAAAAGTGTCTGCGTGGAATATTCGGAAGCGTGTCTGTTTCGCAACCGAAGGGTCGTGGGTTCAAATCCCACCTCCAGTTAAAATTAATCAAAGTTTTCTTTAAAGGGGTGATGCAAAAATTTTTGTACTTTGCGCGAAAACCGCTTAAAACGGATCCCTGACGTTAATGACCTATAAATCACGCATTCGTTTTTCATCCCACGCAATCGAAGTTCCAGAAAAAAATTAAATAAAAGCGAGCACCGTTCACCCCCTCAACTCGCAGCCAGAACAAGCGGCCACGTGATCTTGAGCAGATTATATGCTGGGAATGTTGATCATAGCCACGCGCTGGGGTTGACAAAGCAGAGGACACGCGCTGAGTTCCAGACATTGTTATGGCTCGGCTATTGCCGCCGTTGCAGCGATTGGACGCGGGCCACTACCCGAATGCATGTCGGGCCATCGATTGTCAACAGCCCGGATCGTATTCGTACGCAGTCTTCGCGTCCACTGTGTGATGAGCGTTTGAATATCGTCACCACAAAGCTCGATTGCGCATTCCCGGGGATCGTACTGTTGCCATTATCCCCACAGCTCCGTCATCAAATTTCGCGAAGGAGCAAAAGGCGGCTTTGGAAGGAGAGACTGAAAGAAAAGCTCCGCTTTCATTCCTTTGAATTCCGCGGCGACGAAGACGCTTCTTGGTCAGTGGTGTTGTGTGCGAGTATTCTTGGGTCCCACTAGTGCCAGGAAGCTGGAGTAAAGTGAGGAATATTCCTACCCAATGTCGTTGCACAGCCCCTTTAAAGGCCGACGTTCACTTCGCGATTTCCACTTTTGCCCGCCTCCTTTTTTTCTATATCGTCCCCAGTTTCTAACTTGCCCAAAATACTTTACTAGGGGGAACACATTCCACTCCTCTCAAATACAATAGCCTCGGCGCGGGCAGGTTTTCTGGGCCTGGCGAGAACCATCTATTGTCGGGGAGGTCTCGGCTATCGGGCAATAAATGATGATGATGATGATGGTTGTTCTACATTCCAAATTCATCGTTGTGGAAATGCTCGTGACACGTGCCGCGCGCCACTTCTAGCAAGAACATGGCGTCTAATGACAAAGTCCACTGGGCGTTTTGGAGCGCGCCTGGATCAGTTGACCAGATCCGGACTAAAGCACGCGATCCGAACGGGGTCGCGCCGCCTACGGATCCCCTGTGGAACATGAGCACTGCTCCGGGATCGGCGGATGCCTTCCCGTGATTCAACTGCCCGGGAATTCCCTTTCCGCGGCCGCCGTGGTGGTTTGAAGACGTTTTCGCAATCTTGGCGCTAACACGTGTTCGACGCACGAGCGGCAGGAATGGCTCAGGCGCTTCTAGCAAAGATTGCCGGAATACCTGCAGCGCGGCAAATACCTTCTCTTCTCCTTCCTGGAAAAAGAACCGGCTGTCGAGCCAAGGGCTAAGCAAGCGGCCATTACGAATTCTTTTGATGTCGAGACAATCTAGCGACGTGCTTCTTCTTGTTCTGAGACAAGATAGGCGAGATCAGGCGAGATGCCCCACGAGAGAGGAAGTCACGTGTGTGCGCCAAGGGCTGGCCCGGCTGGCTTCCGCTTGAATCCCCCGAAATCGTGGTAGCGACTTTTCTCGGATCCAGATCGAGATCTGGAGCGGGAGCTAATCCAAAACGACCAGTGAAACACGTCGGTCTCGATCCCGATCGCCCAGTGAAATAGGCTCGCTCCAGAAAAGTCGATCCCGGCGCGCTCCAAAACGACCAGTGGAATTCGCCATAAAATCTAGCTCAGTGCTGGGCCAAATACTTCGCTGCGCAGTGCCGCCACGATCTTCCCAAGGGTTGCACATTGCACGTGCCTGGTGCATTGACGCACCTTGCGCTATTTTTGAAACATGAAGCGGCTTTAGAAGGAAGAGGAGACGACACAGCCGCGGCCGCCGCGAACATGCACGTGCACATGCGCGTGCACTGACGCGGACCTCCCCTCCGTCAGGGATGGGCTCGACGCTGTAGGCGTTCTGTCTAATGCAAATGAGCGGAGTGGAATCTATTCCCCCTAGTAAAGTATTTGCATGCCTCAACTTGGCTCCCCTCACAACTTAGGTGAGGGGGGCGCTGAAAGGATATCCGTTTTGTAGAAAACCGAGGTTAAACGCCGGCCTACATTTGAGACATGCAGCGGCCTTTAATTCTCATTTTCCGTCACGTTGTAATCACTTTCATTCCACTCATGATGTCACGTTTCACGTGAGCGGTGCGGGTTGTTTGAAATTCCCACGCGAGGTCACGTGGCTCTGACGTCATGACCCTATTGACCAATCAAGATGTTGATTGACCAATCAAGAGTGCTGAGACAAAAACAATTCTGCCTGTATGTCAATAACAAAAAATAAAAATATTTTCCGTCATGAATATAGCATAACTATTCCGTGCTTAACTGAGTGAAATAATATAAATACTTAGGTTTAACACTTACACCTGATCTACGATGGCATACCCAAAGTGAATATCTTTCGAAGGTGATACCAAAACATAGTGGTGCCGAGGCAAAGCATGGCCAGGTCAACACACGAAATGAAAATATCTCATCATAAAACTCTAGTTAGGCCTATTAATCAATATCCCAAAATCGCACGGGACCCTTACACCATAACGTATTGTTCCAAACTTGAGAAAATCCAGAAACGAACCGCCCGTTTTATCTTTAATAAATATCGCCGCATTAACTCGCCTACTGAAAGATGCGAGCCTGCCAACCTTCCACCACTTGAATCTAGAATTAAGTTTGATGGGTTAGTATTTATTTTCCAAATTATTCATAATAACGTTAAAATTAATAAATCCGACCACTTTAAAATCCGCAAGAGCGAATCATCAAGGCATCGCCATTAAAATGTTTATTTTACACCCATTTTTCATAATGACCGCTTTAAATGAAATTTGTTTTCCCTTTAACAAAGCAAAGGCCAGAATGATTTTTGCAATAGAGCGGTGTCATGTGCATCTCCCAGGAATTTTATTAAACTTTTCCAAAATATTGTTTGATGCCCATTATATGTCGGGATTTCTCAGTGACATTTCCCTTTTGTGTCTTGTGGTCGGTTTGCCTTGCTGCATACCCGACCCGGAGGGTTAACACGAAGCCAACGGTTTGAACAACAAGAAACTAGATTTAATAGGACATGAACGAGACGATTAACATGGTTACCACCAGTGCGTGAATCCAGGCAGCGACTCCCTGTGCACCGCCTCTGATGCGCCGTATCAAGGCGGCGCACGCGATGTGCGCGTGGCTGGCGTGACGTCGCAGCCACGCGGGAAACGTTCGGCACCTTTGCCTCGCAGTCGGGCTACTGGGATGGGGAGCCGCCAGGGTGCCCACACTTCCCCGCCCGCCCCCCCCCCCCCCCCCTCCCTCAAGCTTCGTCCGGCATGTCGATGACGAAGACGTTGTTGTGGGCGTCACGGGGGGTAGGCGCTGCTGGGCGGAC